AAAATACAGAAAGTAAACCCATGATAAAAATACACGACTTACAGTTGAAACAGAAATATTGAAATCCTCAGCCAATTTTTCACTTAAAGTACCCAGCCTTAACTTAGTGAGGCACAAGTAAAATTGGTCAAATAAAGAAAGTTTACATGTTTTGACAGTGCTCCTCATGACTTCTACATCAGATTTTCCCTTATTCCTAATTCGCTGTATTTGTGACCAAGAATACACATTGTCTGCGGTTGGTTTTATGGCATTAAAAGTACTTATGAAGAATTGGAAGGATGAGAGGCCAGTGTGGAATCTAACAGTGACGTTTGTCTAGCATTTCTTGCAGTTGTTTACAGAATGACTGTTTCCCTAAAATTTGTAAACAAACGATGGACTATGAAAAATCAAAATAAAATTGTTTTACCTCGAATGTTTTCTCTTCATCCCACCTAATATTTATAATCCATCGACGCTTTCAGGCTTTTTCGTTGGGAAGTTGATGAAAAGAAATGATAACTGCTGCTTTGATCTATTATTTGGCACAAAGCCACACAACAATTATCTCGGTTCGGCATGATTGGAAAGGTGACCTTACCACGCGTGACCTCGCTTTCATGTTTAATTAGGTAATGAATAATTCAAGATGGCGGCTCCTTGATAAAGGCGAGTTGTGGGATACCTGACTAATCCTCATTTATTCAGCCCTGTCCCCCAAGTCAGGCTGACCACCCCGTACCCCAGCTCAGAGAGACTGATGTTTTGGTTTTCATCCGACAGCCAATCAGATCATTACAATGAGCTAGCCACAATTAGAAGTTCCCGTATAAGACAAGTCACGTCAGCATATGTGGCATCATCGCAGCAACATGGCGGACGTTAGTGAAGAGGCCGCGGACGGAATCCGTGAAACCGATTTGAACGAAGATATCATTTCTGGTGCTATTGGTACCAGTGCAACCACACGAATTGATTTTGTAGAGAATGATCCACAAAATTTTCCAGGCATGGACGAAATGTTAAAAGTAGCTACAGATTTACAAGATACATCTGGACGTACGATTCAATTGACGGTCGACGATTCCAATGAGTCACCCAGATTAGAATTGGAAAGTTCCGGTAAGAAAATAACTACGATGTTTTGAACAGAACTAAATTTTGATGGAGAAACACAACGATTTTTCCTGTTTTTTTTTTTGCCTCTTTTTTTTCCGCTGGTATGATAGTATCCTCAATCGAATGTTCCCAATGTGAAGTATGAATTCGAAGTCTACTGTTTTTCACTTCTCTGGGCTAAGCTTAAAGGGAAAGTACGGTCTAGAAAAGTATACCAATACCAAAAGTTCCTTGCTTGCATCGTCCTAACTGGCTATTCATTTGAGCTAGTAGCAAGGAGAGTGCTACTTATTAAATTCTCAACTTGGATTTTAGCTAGCCGAGAGGGTGTAATACATCCATTTATGTTTCAAATAAAGCGTGGCTCGTCTTTAGGGGAAGGAGATACCTCTGTTGAGGAGAAAGGGAGAGAAAGTCAGGGAAATGAGTTTCAAGAAGAAATGTGGACCCACTCAGTTGCTCACGTCTTGGAAATTACGAGGGGTTCTCTTGCAGTAACTGTCAAAAGCAACCTACAGAGAACAAGAATGTATGCTCCTAAGAATTAAATGCACTAGGACACCGACTTGATTTGAAAGGCAAAGGCTTTTTCTACAAACAAATCTAAGCTGTGGAGTGATAGTTATTTTGCTAAAGAAGACCCCAGTGCCCAGGACCAATTCATTTCACATTGATAGCTTGGAATGGGGCAAATTATTCATGCAGTTACAGGAACCCAGCTTTGGTGCATAACTGAACACAAGCCATTTGGAACTAAGAACAGCCCAATTGGCATGCAACAAGTTAGAAATGATAGACTTGAAGATCATTCTTCATATGCGTAAATACAGACAAAATTGATTAGAAACAGTTAGTTGCCAAAATTAATGTAGACAAAAGATAAAGGTAAAGTCTGTTTATAAGCCTAGTGGCCCATCAGGCCGGTGCTTAACTCCGGTTTCTGTAGCTTGAAGTGACTAGGAGTATTTCTACTCCCCCCTGGGTGGGATGCCAGTCCGTCACAGGGTTACCCCCAGCATTAAATTGCTGGTACCCATTTAAACACCTGGGTGAAGAGAGGCACTGTGAGATTAAAGTGTCTTGCCTAAGAGCACAACACAATGTCCCCGGCCAGGCTCGAAGCCAGACCACTTGATCTGGAGTTGAGCGCACCAACCATGAGGCCACTGTGCCTCCACAATGCAGACAAAAGGTAGAAGTTAATTGTTATGAATTAATTTTGTTTGTTTCAGCATTTACCTTTAATTTGCAATGGTGTTTTAATCTTTATTGTTTAGAATTAGCTTCAACTCAGTATCTTCCATTCTAAAGTGTTTGAAATGTCACAACTTGGGAGAAGTAGAGCTTTGTTATTTTCAATGCATGCCAGAGAGTCGCCTCTGTCTACGGTGTTTACATTAGGAATTACCTTAATATAATTGAAGCTAAAATGAAACTTTCTGCTTCTTTTAAAATTATAAGCATGGCATAATTAGGTGAAGTAGTTGCTTGAAAATTTACTTGGTGGACTCTTAACAGATTTAGGAAAGACAAGATATATTTATAAACTGGTTGAAAAAGCACATGATGTTAAAAATCTGCTTTGGTCAAGGGTTGTGATGGAAAATTTACCACACACGGTGTACCACCGCTTCAGTTTATTCACTTACAATAAAATGGTTTGAAAAATTTCATATAATAAATAACTGAAATTTGTGTTGAATATGGAAAAAATAAGCATAGCTTTCAGTTCGAAGCGAGGCAAATTACTAGAGGCCAGTTACTAGTGGCGTTCCATAAGGTTCTATTTTGGGTCCCATCCTTTTCTTGTTGCATATCAATGACCTTCCACTTACAATACCTGATTGCAATGTGGATATTTACACAGATAACACAACACTATGGATAGCTAATTCTAATAATCCCTTGCATATCTAACACGGACTTCAGGGAAGTCTCAACCAAGCGAATCACTGGTTCTTGGAAAACAAGGTGGTCCCAAACGCAAAGAAAACTAAACAGCTTAACCTTACGTTGTGAGGCACTGAAATCAAAGAGGCCGTAAATGAAAAGGTGCTTGGTGTGAAGATAGACAAGCATCTTAATTAGAATAGCCATACAGATTACATGATTACTAATTTAAATTCTAGGGTAAATCTTCTTAAAAAAGTCAGAAAGTATCCGAATCTATCACTTAGGATTTTGCTATACAATGCTTTAATGAAACCAATCTTTGAATATTGTTGTTCAGCGTGGGGAAACACTAAGATCGATAATTTACAAAGGCTCCTTAGAATTAAAAAACGTTGTGCCAGAGTAATTTTAAATGCAGACACTGAAAGAACAGTCAACTGGCCTTTTTAAGAGATTAGGTTGGATCCCCATTAGTGACATAATAGAGCATAGAAAATTGTGTATTATGCATAACATTATCCTTGGGAAATTTTAATCATTATATTCGTTATGTTAAAAACAGACATAATTACACAACTCGGGCGTCAACTTATTTGGACTTATCTATACCATTTTTTAGTACAGTGACCGGCAAACGTTCATTTCTTTCAAGTGGCACTAGATTATGGAACAACCAAGACAGTCCTACAAGGGGTCTCACTTCCCTTTGTAAATTTAGAAATCAACTATACAAGAAATATACAGATCGGAACTCTAGAGTGGATAATTTTAACATAAGCAGGAATTTTAATCAATTTTCAATTTTTATTTGTATTTTTCTTTGTATTTTTGCCATTTATGTCATGTTCAATTTGGATTATTTGTTTCAGTTGTTTGCATGGACCAGAATGAGAAGTACTGGTTCTACCCATAATTGTGTTTATCCAATAAAGTCATTATCTTATCTTATCTAAGGTCAACAAGGAAAACTTACATGCCTGTATATCTCGCTGGAAGTCTTCATTTTTGCAGGGTTTGACAAGCTGTCCTGGCATCTTATTTTTGCCGGCTAACTTTTCTTTAACATTTCACTTTCCGGTAGCTTGTGGAGGCTTACTCATTTTCCTTTTGAATTTTGGTATGTATTTTAACATTCAACCACATGACAGTTCACCTCATTTCAATTATTGGGAGTATTAGAAATTGTCTTCACAAAGGTCAAACAATTCAACAAGGACAAAGCGCTGAACAAAATTTGACTATTGCTACATCACAACTGACGTAATATCCAAGATGGCATTTTTCTAACCTTGAAAGTTGTAAAAATGAGCAACAAAGTGCTCTTGTTGCCAATACAAAGCAAACTGGGCAAAATGGCTCTTATTTTCGAACTCCTGAGGAAGAAGTCTTCTCTTTGAGATAAACTTTTTCTAGACTGTACTTTCCCTTTAAGTGCGTTTGAGTTCCATCTTAGCATGAAATTTTTAATATATGCAAATCATCAGAAGAAAATATGTGATAAATACATGTTCAATATGTGATCAAGATGGTGGCTAAAGGTCCCAAGTGTGCTCCGCTTTCATTATCGTCATTCTCTTATGCTGCAAGCTCGTTTTATTACTTGTGAGTAGTCTTTACATCAACCGAACAACTATGAGCCTCATATGCGAGAACAAGCCATATTCGACAGGTATTTTATCTGGCGGCAACGCACATGGAACTCAGTATGGCATGCGACATGTTATTGTCCTTTGGGTGTTCTCGAAAGCAAAGCTCACATATTATCCTAATTCCTTGGCCACTTATTCTACGAGGAGAATTATACTTTCTGGAGATGTAGAACTAAATCCTGGAATGATTAATGGCAATGGTAATGGTACAAAGACAGGAATAAAGCAAAAGCAACGAAATATTAACATCGCACATTTGAATGTTCACTTGCTGAAGAACAAAGAGCACTACATCCTGGCAAAGGACTTGGCAAAGAAGCATAAACTGGATATCTTCATCATTTCAGAGTCCTGGTTAACAGACTCTGTCTCCGATTTAGAGGTCAAATTCCCTGGATTTTCCTTGGTTAGATTAGACCGAAACTATAAGATCGGAGGAGGTGTTTGTGCATATGTAAACAACAGCTTTAAATGCGTCAAAGTTGCTGAATTATCATACATATCGGATACTGGACTGCACCAATTATGGCTGAAAGTACAAATCAAGAACTTTAAGTCATTTATTATCTGTATGGCCTATCGTACCGATGATGTACCTGTCACCTGTTTCGAGACTGACCTCAGCTTCACGCTCACCTCAGCCATGACATTTAACATTCCTCTTTTTGTGCTGGGTGACCTAAATTGTAATTTACTTTGACCCAATGAACCTGAACTGAAGGCAGTATTAGACTTTTGCAACTGCTTCAACCTCACACAGGTTATTAATGAAGAAACAAGGTTAACTAAGAACTCCACGAGATTTCTGGATGCGATACACACTAACGGGAAACATCTCATCATGGAAATGAAAGTAGTGGCTCACTCAATAAGCAACCATGAACTTATCATTGCGACTCTAAACCAGAAGAAACCTCGTACTAAGTCTATTTACATTACAACAAGGAGCTTCAAAAATTACGACAAAGTAGCATTTCTCAAGGATGTTTCAAATGCCCCCTGGTCAGTTATAGGTACTTTTGATGATGTTGAAGACAAATTGAATGCTTTTAATATTCTGTTCAACCAAGTCCTTGACCAGCATGTGCCCATTAAAACCATCAAAGTGAGAACTCGCCCCTGTCCATTTATTAATGACAACGTTCGTGCGTTAATGAATGATCCCGCCCTCTGGTTGGGCTGTGAGAATTTCGGAAATGAAATGAAACGAGAATTAGGACTTGCTCTAAAGACCTTTGTGGAAGACCAGATCAGGAAAAATGCAAATGATACTAACACTATGTGGAGGACCATATGATTGTGCATACCTAAGAAATCAGCGAGCGCAAAAGTCTTTTGTAAAGATGACAAGACTATGGCAAATGAATTCAATCAATTCTTCACTTCAGTTGGAAAAACAACACTTGACAAAATTCAATCACTCGCCGAGGAATGTAGACATACTCCTTTATATACATCCTTTGTTCTGATACATTTTCCTCTCTCGGAACAATTCACACTTCACAACGTTGAGTGCTGTGAAATTAAACGAGTTGTAAAGTCGCTAGCTAACAACAAAGCACTTGGCACTGACAAAATACCACCCTGTGTCCTTAAGGAGTCTGCTCCCGCTATTATTCCATCTATCACCTCCATTATAAACAGTTCATTTAACAGTGGTGTTTTCCCTAGTGTCTGGAAAATGGCTGAGATGTGTCCAATTCCAAAAGAAGGCGACCCTGAAGAAGCGAGTAATAGCAGACCGATTTCCCCATTACCTATTCTTTCAAAGGTGTGTGAAAAAGTTGTGCTCGACGAACTCACATCATACCTGACAGAAAAGCAAAGACTTGCATTCCATCAAAGTTGAAATAAAAAGTGGCAGGCAACTGAAACTTCATTGGTGTCCTCTACAGATGCCATCTTATGAGTGATTGATCAGACTAAAGTTACTGCAGTAGTGTATCTGGATATGTGCAAGGCCTTTGACAGTATGAAACATGAAATCCTATTAAATAAACTCAAGAACATTGGTCTCCCCTCATCTGCATTAACATGGTTTTGTAGCTACCTATCCTAGAGATCTCAGGTAGTTCACATAAACTCAACACAGTCAAACGCTTTTCCTGTTGTTTGAGGTGTCCCTCAAGGCAGCATACTTGGAGCTCTATTGTTCAGTATCTATGTAAATGACTTGCCAGCAGTCAGTCAGAAATGCTCAACTGAGTGCTATGTTGACGATACTAAACTTCTTTAGTCTTTCAGGGTTGGGGATGCTGACAAAGCAAAGGACATTATCCATAAGGATTTACATCTAATCCAAAATTGGTGTTTAGATAATTGTCTTCTACTCAACCCTGAAAAGACAAAGCTCGTGCTCTTTAGTAGCGGGCTGATGAGTCGTAGATTACCTAATTTTAAGCTTTCATTGCTCGTAAAAGGAACTCGCGCTGTCAGAGTCCGTCAAGGATCCTGGGTTAACATTCGACCCTACTTTGTCATTTAACAACCACATCTCAGTGACAGTCTCATCTTGCATGAGTATATTAGCTCAGATCAGTCGGGCAAAGCACGCATTTAACTCCAATGCGCTTGTTTTCTATTGCTCTTCAGTCTGGTCTAACACCTCTGCCAGTAATATGCAAAAACTACAAATTGTTCAGAACTTCGCAGCTCGGATAGTTAGTGGTGTAAAGAAATTTGAACACATAACTCCATCACTTAAGAAATTGGAGTGGCTCCCTGTAAAAAAGCAGGTTTACTTCCGAGATGCTATTCTCGTATTCAGGTGCATGACGGACCGTGCCCCGACCTATCTGATGTCACAGTTTGCCACAAGAAGGCAGATATCTGACCGAATAACAAGAAACTCCCAACAACTTAATATTCCTTTATTTAAAACCACTGCTGGTCAGAGATCGTTTCACTACAGGATGGTAAAATTATGGAACTCATTAGACAGTGATTTGAAACTGTGTAAAGACCTCACTAACTTTAAGAAAACTCTAAAATCAAGGATGTTGAATGAGTTTCTTTCAACAAAATAGTTTTAACTTATAGTTTTATATTTTTTACTATACATGTATATCTTTTATTCTTATTGTTTTGTACTGTTCACTGAAAAACCCTTTCAGGGAGTGTTCATTAAACTTATTACTTATTACTAAAAGGTCAGAACATCAAAACAAGACATTTTGCATTAATACCTAGTTGGCAGTCTAATAAGTCAAGGAAATTCAAATTGTAACAAGTCTCAGAAGACCTCCAACCAGAAGAAGCACTGCAGAGAGAAAAAGAGAACTGATTTTGCTCAATTGTCTATGGTAGAGTGACATTTTCCTATTGCGTGTAGGTGAAACATTGAGCAGAGTAGCAGTCAGCACTTTGGGTCTTATGTCAACAACACTCAGAAATGTGTTTTTTGACGTCACCATTTCCTTTCACTCCTCTGTGTTAATTTTTGTATACAATATTTTAATGTGTTGATGCTGTACAGAACTGCTCGAGGTATTGTAAGTTTTAACACTGTAATAAGTGTGTACTTTATAAGAGATGTTTATCAAAATTCCCCATCTTTCATTGACTCAACAGGGCCTTCCTCATCACCCCCATGGCAGGCACCTGCAGGAGCTTATCAAAATGGTCATCCTTCACCTCAAGCTGTCATCCGACCAGGCACTGCTCAGAAAATAGATCACTTGAAGAAATGGAGTATTTCAACATACAAGTATACTAGGCAGTATCTTTCTGAGAGATTTGGTAAAGGTACAAGGACTGTAGATACTGAACTTGAAGGACAAATTCTTTTGTTAAAGGAAACCCAAGTTAAGTATGTTAATGTATTAAAACTAGCAAAACAGATGACAAACCATTTCCAAAACATGGTGCAAAGTCAGAGAAGTCTTGCTGATGCCTTTGCAGATTTAGGGATGAAGTCACCTGAGCTCCAGGATGAATTCAACTATAATGCTGAATCTCAGAGATCACTGGTCAAGAATGGGGAAGTTCTACTTGGAGCACTCAATTTTTTTACATCAAATTTGACAACTCTGGTGCACAAAACTATGGAAGACTCCATCATGACCGTGAAAGCATATGAATCTGCCAGAATAGAATATGATGCTTACAGAACAGACCTAGAATCCACCCAAGTTGGACCAAGAACAGCAGGGACAACTGTGAAAGCTGAGGAGGCAAAGCAACAATTTGATGTTCAAAAGGAGAAATTTGACAGACTCCGTGGTGATTTAGCAATCAAACTAAGATTTTTAGAAGAAAACAAGGTATGGAAAATGCATCAGCCTTTTTTTTCACAACATCAAGGCATTTTCATAGGCTACAGGCAAGATTTCAATTATAATTTAGGAAAATTTTGGGAGCTCATCCTTGCAAAATGGCTTATGGTATTGGTCTTGCTTAGCAAAACTCCTTCAGTTACTCAATTAAGCAAATTTCTCTTGGACAGCTGCTAAAGATTCATGTACCGTATTTATCTGTGTATAAGTTGACCTTTTATGACCAAAAAATCAGCCCAAAATATCACCCCCAACTTATGCATGGGTCATATACAAAGACCTGACCTGAGCAATCCAAGAAATTAGCATAACAATTGTCTGAAGTCCATTAGGAAAACTGAGTTTAGAAAACCAGTTCTACCGTATTTATCTGTGTATAAGTCGACCCCATGTATAAGTTGACCCTCCATTTTCAAGGTCAAAAATCGGATTTTTCTTGATTTCTAGTAAAGAAAAGTTCAAAAGGAGACCAATAGAAATTTCCTAAATGGCTGATCTCTTATTTCTGAGAATGTATTGAAAACACGGTGAATTAAAAAAAACTGCAGAGCAAAATGTAACCGTGTGCTGTGAAGTTTAGTAGCACTTGTTTACATCACCACGATTTAAGCATATACGAGCACTTCCATTTACTGGAGAAGTAATTTACCATATTTTGTAAATTGCTTTGAAAATGAAATCTTCATGCATTTAAAACCTTTTGAAGGGAGATTTAGTAGACTGAAGGAACACCGAAGAGCTTTGAAAGATCACTCAATGAAAACACTGCCATCTTGGAAACTACACAATAACATAATTGGTCCACGCATGCAACAAACAAGACCGTACGAGAAAACAGCATTTGCTGTAATTGTTCGATGAAAACAAGAATTCAGCACCGAAGACAGCAGCGAAGCTGCAAGGAAAAATGTCTGCTCTACAGATCAGAAGATACAATAGAAATCAGGCCCACTAGGTTTCTGTTTAAGCCACATAAAATTTATTATTTCAAACTTTTTCATCAATGAAAAATGCGCTGAAAACTGACCAAATTCAAACACAATTAGAACTGGTTTTGTGAAATCGGTTTTCCTTATGGACTTCAGGCAATTGTTATGCTAATTTCTTGGATTGCTTGGGTCAGGTCTTTGTCTATGATGCGTGTACACGTTTAGGGTGATTTTTTGCGTTGATTTTTCAGTCATAAAGGGTCGACTTATACACTGATAAATATGGTAGTTGTGTTTGAGTTTCATCAGTTTTCAACGCATTCTTCATCAACAAAAAAGTTTGAAATAATAAATTTTACATGGCTAAAACAGAAATCTACTGGAGCTGATTTCCGTTGTATCTTCTGATCTGTAGGGCAGACGTTTTTCCTTACAGCTTCGCTGCTGAACTCTCATTTTCATTGAAGGCTTACAGTGTTTTCATTTAAAGCTCTTTGGTGTTCCTTCGGTCTACTAAATCTCCTTTCAAACTCAACATTAAGATAAAGGTTATTTAAACGCATGCAGAAAATTTATCTTCAAAGCAATTTACAAAATAGGGTAATTTCCTTCTTGAGTAAATCAAAGTGCTCATATATGCTTAAATCGTAAATTGTGGTGATGTAAACAAGTGCTACTAAACTTCACAGCACATGGTTACATTTTGCTCTGCAGTTTTTCCTAATTCATCGTTTTTTCAATATATTACCAGAAACAAGAGATCAACCATTGGGGAAATTTCTGTCAGTCTGAATTTTTCTCATTCGAAATGACGTTTCGAGCGTTAGCCCTTCATCGGAATGGTTTGGCACATGCACAAAGATAAACGACAGAAAGGTTTTCACTGCAATCCGCCAAAAAATTTTGACAATTTATCTTCAAATGATGAAAAAAAGATTAAGGTTAAGATCCAATACAGTCTCATTTGGTCAATTTGCAGTGGACAGGGGCAGTTTTGGTTTGCCAATTTTCAGATCAAAAGAAGTAATCTTCCCCTAGATAATGCTGTTGCAGTGGCATGGCAGGATGTAGCTGCATTAGTTAATTGATGAAAATTGGCAATATCTGTGGCAGAATTCACCAGCGAACCTGTGTTTACTTTTATTCCTACAGTTGCCATCTTGTGTAAGCTAGCGATACATGGCTGCAGCAGTAAAAGACAAAATAGCGTGATATAAATGGTCATAATTGCCATATTTGTCTTGATATGTGATATGTGGTACATGGCTGCAATGGTAAAACACAAACTTGCACAATATAAATGGAAACTTCTATCTCATGTATTTGAAAAATGGCACATGTGATCATCAAATTTTGCAAATTGGCTACTTAAATAATCTTTTTGATATGAGAAAATAAAAGCCTTTGGAAAGGTTGAATTAGCCTCTGTTACCACCTTAATGATATACATGAAAAAATTTCTCAGTTCTGATTGGTTAAGATGAATGCATTTTTCAGTTAATTCAGTGCAGAAGAGAGTTAATTCAGTGCAAAGAAAGAAACAAACCAGACATTCTGATTGGTGAGAATTATTGGTTAATGTCAAGGTCAATGTCAGTTGCAGGGTTTGAATAAATTATTTTTGCATGCGATGCGTGCGCTTTTCTTCTGCGTTGTTATGAGAAGCTACCTCGTATTTTTTCACGTATATTATTAATAGATAATCACATGATATTCTCGTGCAATTTGGAATAAATAAGCACTAGTAAATTTTTCCAAAGACCACAAATTGCACTCACCCTATTGGCTCATGCAATTTTGTTAGTCTTTGAAAAAATTTACTCGTGCTTATTTAATTGCACTCGAAATCATGTGATTACCTATACTAATTGTATTGAATACACCTTACTGTTACAGCCTTTTCACTCACTTGACTCTTTTTTTTTTTTTTCCCTTAAAAAAAAAAGAGAGTTCAACTCCCACTGGACTAATTTGGAAGACCAATATAGCCGAATTTTTGCTATTTATGAACACCAGTATGGCTGCTGTGATGTCATATGAAATTTTGCTTGTCTGAGTTTCCATAATATTCATTGGATATTATAGGTTATTTTGTGTTCTCTGGCTTAAATTCTCATTCTGCAAATTCCTGGGGCTCAAAATGTATTTTAAAAAAAGTCAAAGGGAAGCTTAAGGTCCAGTTTCTGTTGTTGTTGTTGTTGTTTTTTTTTTTTTACAATGGTTACAAACTAGAGTCCAGTTGTACCAGCTGTTGCCTGAGCATTGCAACTCCCTTTTTCATCTAACTCAAAATCATTTAGACTTTGTATATGGATTTTGGTCCCATTAATGCAATGGGCCAAGTAAATTCTGAAGGCCACTTTTCAAAGTAGAGAAGAAAGTTTGATTTGATTTTCAATGTTAACTTTTGAATGTGGTCTGTTACAAATATGTATGTCCATATCTTCTGTTTACGATGTGATCATAGCAATACCCAAAGGGGTTCTTAATGTGTAATTTTGATCATCAAAGAGTTGGTTTAAGTAATCATTTCTTTTGTGGTTATGTTTGAATCTTGTTCAAGCTTTATTTTTATGAACTGGATTTGTGTTCACTATTGATGTAATTTCCTTTCGTGCATCCACAGGTGAAAGTGATGCACAAGCAGTTGTTGCTCTTTCAAAATGCAATTAGTGCTTATTTTGCTGGAAACAAACAAGCCTTGGATAGCTGTATAAAGGAATTCCACATTAAAATCAAGAACAATGAAGGCAAACAGCCATCTTTCCTGGAGCACTGATGTCGTTGAAAAGTTTGTTATCTGGGGCTGCTAGTCGAAGACTCAGTAAGCTACATGTATACATAAAGAGATGTTTGGAATTTTTGTCTGGTTAAATTTGACTGTGTTGATGAAGAAAGCAAAAACACTACAAAGTGAAATGGGAATAGGAATTATGATTACTATGTAGTATGAAAATTTTGTGAGTAAAAGTTTTCAAGACTTTCATGGATTGTCCTCAGTGCACAAAAATGCATTAAGTTCCAGCAGAAAAAAACCGCATTAATTTGCTCTTGTCAGTTTGGTAATGAAGTTGTCAATTTAAGTTTATAATATTAAGGGTCAGCTGGACTCAAAATATCAATGAATGAATTATCCACTGTGTAATTTTCATCTGTATGAGTCAGCAAGTAATATAATTTGAGAATGTTTCATTTCATTTCATGCTAGAGTTTGCAAAGTCCTGCTTGTCAAACAGGAAGCTGTAGAATTAGTTCCCAGAGGACAATCCAGTCCTCTGGAATGCCAATGTTTGCAAGACAAAGACAACAAATTGCAGATCCTTAAAGGAATGACTCTGGTAAATTTCATGCTATTTGGTAGATATTGGTTTATCCTTTCTTCATGACAGTAAAACATGACCAGTCAAGCTAATTAAGATTGAAATTCCAAAGAGAAACCATTGTAACTGTTAGCTAGAATAAAATGTAACTTTTGGTATTGTTTTAGATGGAACCAGCCATTTAAAACTGGTGTGACCAGAGTATCACTTGAACAAATTACAGGTACTTAGGCCGCAATTGTTTCTTTAGCCCCAACAGGAGATGCTTAAAAAGCAAATTGACTTTCAGGCCGACCAACAGTAAATATAGAAAAAAAACTGACTCTCACCAAGATTTCTTATGGAGTAGTTGGTATGAAGAAACAGGAAAATCTATGAGGAGAGCACTTAAACTTAGTCGTGAGTGACTAACAACAGTTGTGACAATCATTTTCAAAGGTGAAACTTAATCACACTGTACTATAAGTAGCGACAGTAATGACAGCAAGTCTCCTGGAAATGGCAATTACCACTCTTCGTACACAATGTTACTACTTTAATAACTGATATTCTTTTATTTAGAGATAATAATGGTGTATTTAGCACTACTCAATTCATAAGATATTAACAACTACTCACCTCAGTAGAGGTGGCTAATGGTGGATGCTTACAAAGCCCTAAAGTGGGGAGGTAGATATTCCTCACTCATTGTCACTAAGGTGAATAGCTGATTTTGTAGATACCAAAACTGAGAGGATGAAGCGGAAAAAAGGGTTTTCAGCTGGTTTGTTCATGCAGTGATAACAACATATTCGGGTGCAAATCCTGGGCGTGTTGCTGCCTGAGAAGACAATCAGAGCAAGTTTGCAAGTGCCGTACACTGTTCAAGTATATACTAAGCTAGTTTACTCTCTCAGGTGGTTACAGAGATGTGCACGCCCAGATTGGCCAAGAATTGTGTAATCTCTTTATCTATCTATCTACTCTTTTATGAGTAGATAGATAGATAGATAGATAGATAGATAGATAGATAGTTTTAAACTATCTATCTAAATTATCTATCTATCTATCTAAACTATCTATCTATCTATCTATCTATCTATCTATCTATCTATCTATCTATCTATCTATCTATCTATCTATCTATCTATCTATCTATCTATCAAGTATATACTAAGTCCGCGGCTTTCCCAGCCGGCTTAAAACATGGAGGATTGCAGAAGAAAAATACTTGGTAAAGAAAACATTCTATTTGATCTTCCTTCTCCACATCCTGTTCTTGGAGGTGGAAACGACACTAATGATGTCATTATCGCGGCAGCATGTGCCCACCAACAAGTTCTGATGCTGGATATTTCATCCAAAACGATTGAACGGCAAATTTGGCGGAAAGTTCGTTCGAGGGAATTTTGGCCAACGTGCCAACAGGGACCTTACGCAATCAGGACGGCAACGCCAAGGAAGACTTCGATTAAAAAATGAATTTCAACTCTTAGTTAGAACTTCAAAAATGGTTGCAAGAGCTTACTGTCTCATACAGCGCCACAGCTCAACTTCAGCATGACGTATAAAAGTAGCGTTGAGTTCCAAATGGAAATTAAAATAATTTGCCGTCGCGGTTTCGGTTCGCAGACGACGCAAATTTTGGCGATTTCACGTTGTTGTTTTGCATAGGACGGCTAAGAAATGTACAAAATTTCAAAACGCACGTGCTGAGCTGTTGTTCTGCCGATTAGATCTCTTGTTTTTCCACGTCCGTCGTGGTTGCGTAAGGTCCCTATTGAAACTGGAATGACGGCGGTTTTATCACCAATTTGCGAGTAGACAGGGGTACGTTTCTTCTTATTGTTGAAAGACTGACCCTTCATATTCACCGAGAAACGACAAGAATGAGGCAGTCCATTGCTGTCGATGAAAGAGTTACTGTGGCGTTATGGCGATACGAAGCATGCGCAGTAAGCTCTTGGTGCTCAACCTCCCCGCGTATCGGCTGCTAAATCAGTATTTGAGCGCCAGTGTGTGGAATCCTTTATCGGACTTAATAAGTTGTCGATAACTTTTAGTGGTCGATCACAAATAGTTGTCGACAACTAAAATCCCTAGTCTGTGGAGGGCCTAAGAACGCAAAATGCTATAAGGCCAAAAATCGCCACGCACTTTTGCTGACGCTCTGTTCACGTGCAACAGCGATCGGTCAAATTTTTGAGGAAAATACACTGCTACCCTCTGCAATGTTTCCCGAATGGGAAACAGTTTTATTTGAAGGAGGAGGTGTCATGTAACCAATGAGTGCTCGCGTTGTAGGAAAAAATCCATTTATAAAACAAATCCAGGTGTTGAAGAGTGTGGCGGATAAATCTGCAAAAACTGGATAAAATTGACTTTTCTCATGTCCCTGTAGTAAAATGATATTGAGAGCACCTTGTCAATATAAAGAGTAGTTTCGACCGTGATTTCTTGACCAGAATAACAGGCCACCGAACTGCAACTTTAGCCCTCTCCGGCAAAATTCGCTGATTCAAAACAATAAAATGCTTTCTTTTCAAAGCAAAACCTTTTTCTCAAAGCTTACATGATGTGCTGATCACGTCTACTGAGATATTCTGCGAGAAAAAGTTGATTTCAATTACGCGTCGTTGGATGCCTCTGTAAAATTATTTTGAGATGTTTATCGTCTTTCGTTTATCGGCAAGAACTGCAAAGATTAGTAGTAGTAGTGAACTTTATTTGTGTCGTGAAAACCTAGCGCATAGCACTAATTGGGGACACAGGGTAAAAGCTTTAAAAATAAGAAATCTGGAACCTATTTACAGAATTATTTACCTAACCTATTAACAGTTAAACTTATTTATCAATGTCCTAGAGTTAAATATCAACTATTACAGAGCGCACATTTTTTGCATCCATCATCAATCATGACAGTCATGTCCGTTCTCCTGATTTTGCTCTTAAATAAGTAAGTAAGGACTTTATTTATAGAGGGGGACACGTAACAGCTGAAAAGCTGACAAACCTGTGGCCCTCTAACTAGATTATACAGCATTAGATACGTAGGTTGAAATAGGACACTATATAACTGATGCTGGTGTCTGAATAATTGTGGGCAAAAATAAACTGCATCGGTACAACGCTTCCTACAGTCCCCTCCACAGCCCTAATTTGAACTTGTCACGCAACACTCACTCTCTCTCTATCTCTCTCTCTCTCCAAAATTGCATGATGAGACCAAAGAACGACCTGCTCGTAGGTTAAAATTGTGCTTATTGCCGTTCCTTCGTCAGAGACAAAGTCCTAGTTATTATTCTGACCATTAAGGGCCAGAATCAGAAATTCTGTTTGGTTTTTCCTGTGCAAGAAAATGCACAATAGCGTGCAGTTTTTAATTGGCGTAAAGTAATGTGGTGGCATATCCAGGGAACGAGGTTGAGTTTTAGCATCGAGTGTCAGTCAGATTGGAAGTACTGGCCGCGCATCAACTTTAACATCAACCTTGTTACAGTTTATACTCATCTTTCGAGTGAACTTAAATATATTTATTTAAAGTACAAACCTAATACTGTGAATCACTACAATTGTTAACGTACTGATGAAAACAACCCTTGGGAACAGTAAAATTTTTCGCCGATTGTATAATTCGATTAATTAAAACAACCATCTTATGTAAACATTGGCGATTGAAACCATCGGTAAATAAATATTCTCTGACTAAAAAAAAACTTGTGGAAGTCACTGCCACATACCTTTAATTTCAATCAGTCAAAAAAACTTGGTCTATAAAATGCCTTCTGTGACACATCGTTCCGAGGCAAAAAAAACTTCAAAGGTTTGTTATTTGATGTAAACAAGAGAAATCCTTGTAAATAAAGTCATCACGTTCAAATGCAAATTTTATTGAGTGATCCCGCCTTTCCTCCGGCGATTTTAGTAATTCCAAATTGTCATGGATGGCATCAACTTGTTCCGAAATCTTAGTCTCCATAACTCTCCACGTTCACAAACCATGAAAAGCACTCGACAGCGATTTTGCTAAAACAGCAAATCCCTCAATTCGAACCAATTCAATTAAATCCGCTGATCCACAAATCCGGCCCAAATATAGGCTCAGTGTAGCTTCCTGTTCAGTAACAGATGGTTGCCTCAAAACACTCTTCCATATAATTTTGCAGTGGAAAGCTCTATTTTATCTCGTACAGCCTCTGGACAAAGATACTTTCCGGTCTCCATTCTTCGAACTATTGAAAGTAGATTGAACCAAGAGAAAGTATCATTCTTCAAAGGATAATAAGGTGGGCTACTTGATTGGTTGTTGCCTATCTGGACTTTGCCCTTTGCGTGCGAAATACGTGATAAAATGCAGGTTGTTTACAGGAAATTGACACGCAATGGGGTAAAGTCCAGGTTAGCTATAAGCGAATTTTATTGGTAGAAAACGTCTAAGCACGTGAGAGTTGCGTGGAAAATTAACCGACCGTACCATTCTGTCCCTTGTGAAATATTTTTCATTGAGGTAGATTTATGTCATAAAATTTGCGTTGTTTACTGGAAAATGGCATTTCATCTAAAAAAATCTAATCCATACTGGCGAGTAAAAAGTAACACGCAATTGTAACGGGAAAGTATCGTTTAAACAATATTTAATTCATGGAGGACTTTTAGAAGCAAAGAAACGGATATGTAACATGGCAGTCGACGCAGAAAGTAAATGTAACTTGGTGGTCGTTTCAACCGCTGCTAAAAGAACAACCATATGGCAAAAAAAAGATTATCAATCAAATATGATTTACGCAAATATCTTGCGCAAGATTTACCAGAGTCAGTAAAACTAGCCTTTCCGAAACAACACGCTATAGCGCTAAATACGAGTTAGGCCTGGTCGACTGCC